ATAGACCCTCTAATGTCTATATTTTTGACATTTGAAGAAATAACAGCGGCAGTGTTATATATCCTATACACTTCTAAAAAAGTTGAACGTTTTTCTTGCTTACAAATTAATCTCATGATGAATACGAAATTAAAATATATATATATATATATATACTGACAATATGAGCTGATTGACAATTGAAGCACCAATTGTTAACTCAGGAACATAGATAATGAAATGTATTGAAATATAACTCATCAGGGAGTAGATCTGGTGCTCTTTGTTACATACTTACGACTACAATTTCCGTATATGTTGTCACAAGAAAGATTGATACAACCAACAGAGCAGTTATCACAGGACAATCCGAAGAATCCATCCTCACAGTCTGGTCATTGCAAAATGAAAAAAAAAACTTTATTCAGTTTCATATTGACATTTGACCAGCATATTAATATACAAATCAAATCTATAATATGGAACAACCATGTACTGTATGCATGTTAAACTGATAGTATGCATCCTCTAGTTCTTCAGCGCAATGTTACCTCAATTTGATATAATTTAATTTCCATTGTGATGATCGGGAAATATACCAACACCCAATCATAATTGGACCTGATACAGTATTTAACAATCATATTGTGACGATTTTTGCGCACTACCACCGGAATGTGTTGTTATGTCACATTATTTTTCTTTCTACATCACGTTCTAGATTACCGATCTTGATTTGCAGAGATTAAGTTAATTTTACCGAAAACCTACGGAATCGACAATTGCTGTAAGCTATACATTTTTTTCCTCAGTTGTAGTGCTGCAAATTCTACCCCATGATTATAATTTGCATATCCTTTTGATTTTCATTTATTAGACGTCATCAACAAATTAAAATAGTATATTTGTCAAAATTGATCTGAATTGTCTATGTTAATATGACAATTACAATATATGAATAATTAATAATTTCCTAACTAATCATAATATTAAACAATTCTATACACGTTTTTCATATTTTACACTGATATATACCTCCACACTTTCCATTTCTTTGCATACATCGGTTGTCTTTACAGTTGAACGGACAGGTCTGATTACAATGGCTGCCATAATACCCGGGAGCACACGCTTTCATGGAAAATCACAAAGAACAAATCAGAATTGGGAAAAAAATGGTAAGAAGCTACATTTTCCTTATCTAGGTTTTAGATCATTTATTGTTGCTGAGAATGTGATTGTACTCAATGGTGCTCGATACATGTATATTTCGAATTAACACTAAGCAAGATCAATGGTGTATTGTAAACCGAATGTTATAAATTTATAATAAAAGAATGTTATCAACACATTACATCATTAAGTTGATTAATATAATTATATTTGCAAAAAATATTTTAGAAGTCGTATCATTATAAAATTAAAATTGTGTTCGTCCCCTAATCAAATGCAATATAGTTTATGACAAGAATGTGTATAAACACAAAATGTAAAAAAAAAATGAATTTCATATGACTGGTGACTTTAACTGAAATAAAACGAATCACTTACCGGAACAAACACCGGATTCTACATTGCATGCGTTAGCATAACAGTTTGAGGGGCATTCTATGCATAAAGATCCAGGCCGAAAGTATCCATCAGCACAGTCTTAAAATTAAATGAAACATGTACACTGTGTATATATGTATTAGACGCATTGTTCACACAGATTTTAACATTCTATAGGGGATATATATAATACGTAGAAATGTAAATTGAAGACTGTTGATCATATTTTGATTCACTCGAATGGGAAAATAATATAATGTTATAATGTAAATGTTATAATAAAGTTATCATGATAGGACATATCCATATATTATTACTGTACCGGAAGCTTATACGACACCAAAGCAAAAACCACAGTTTGAATGAGGTTATGGTGACGATCTACACTTTTTTCTTATACTTAAATTACGTTTATCACAATGGTTCTCGTTAATAAAAAAATGAATGATAAACTTATTTGTTTTTTCTCGTTCAACAGGCAAATGACATATTGTATGTTTTGTCCAACTGAGTATTACTATCTTAGGATATATATAATTACATGCACATTTTCCGGTCACTGGATCACACAGTCTATTGCCACACCCTACATCACAATCTGAATCACAATTACCATCACCATATTTCCCAAGTGGACAACCTGAAATATATGAGCATACGAGTTTGTGTCATAAACACATATGTTTACATTAAAAACATGCTAAAACATAGTTAACCAGTTCCAATTACCCTTTCGCTGGATAGATACTTTCGTTGTTCAAATCCCTCCTTATGTAACCTCTACTGCAACCTTATAATGATGCACAAGAATATTGCTTACTTTATCAATGCAAAACAAAACAAAATAATGCGCCAACTCGCGAAGTCATAGGAAATAACATAGTGATATTCAGGAATGTTTATCTTGACCTTGAACACGAGTTCTGAAAGTTCCATATTCTTTCAATAATTTCAAAGGTCAATATTATCGATTTGTGTTAACACAAATAGAATCAAATACACACAAGAATAACGCAATTTCGTAATGTTAAATAAACATACCGTACACTTCTACCTCGCAAAGCTCTAGAAAAGCAGTTTTAGAGTACCACTCTAGACCTCCTGACGATCTGTTGCTGTATATCGTCAGGTACTGGACGCTGCCTGTACATGGGATATTGGGAGACAATGACAATTCAACCGCCGTTGGTGTTGTGTCTTTATGGCAAAGGTAACCGTTCACCCAATCCGACGTGTTCGACTGGTATACTTGAAAGCCACCAAATCGTTGTTTTTGCTGATAACCGTCATCTAAATTTGATAAACAAGATTATCCACTATAGCTAAAACTTATATATTTTTTACAGCTTTGAGTTCACGCAAGGTTATTTAGCATTTTTGCCAGGAAATTACAATCCGCGCAGTGTAAAATTCGCTCGAGAAAAATGCGGATCGTGCAATCTACAGTGAAACATTTTACACTTTTATTGTTTTCTAACATCCCTGCAGGTCGGTGATTTAGAAAAAAAGAGAAAGGCTTGTTGTTACCGACTGCATGTTCTGTAACAGGCGACTGATGCGAAACCTCAGGAATTAAGGATTTTTCATTTGTTTCCCCCCCACCACTTGGTCGCGGTTTCGAGACCTACGTTGGCCAGTTGCCAGGAACTGACCACATGTCGGTGTTTTTCTCCCGGAATACCGGCTTTCCTCCACCATCAACCCATACCAGGTCATTACATGACCATAGCTGTTAATAGGACGTAAAACACAAACAAACCTAACCGAACCGGGGAATGCCATGATACCGTGGTCTTGTTGTGACATTGCCGAATAATAATACTTTAAAACGAGTAATTATTACATCGTAGTAACAATTTGACGTCATTAGGATTGACTTGGTCTCTTATCACAAGCCTATTCACATCTTTACGGCCTCTTCACTCTTTGAAGAAGAGGATAATGTTAATCATAATACTGGAAGGAGCTTTGTTTTAGGTTAATATGAAGCAATACAAAAATTGTAAAAAAAAAATAAAAAAAAAAAAAAAAGAAATATCTGCAGTAACTGTTATCGTCATATTTAATGTAAAAAAAAGGTAATTTATTAAGTCCATGTTAAAACCCTGAATTCCAGAATGCTTCTTGCAAACTATCCTTACCTAGGCCTCTTTCTGAACTTTTATAGCCAACCACCTAAACCTATTAGAACTTGAGGTGAAGGTGTTCAAAGATGTTGTACCTTGAATTAGCACATTTGAAGTGTGACCCCTATCGAAAACAGAAATTTGACCTTCACACAAAATGTTACTCGGGAAAATGTGTGCGCTGGCGTTCTCTAAATAATATTAAAACATAATGTAAATGCCTAAAAAC